AGGGAAAGTGTCCATATATACAGAAAAGTACACAAATCATAAATTTGGTGAATTTTCACTAAGTGAACAGACTCGTGAACCCAGTGCCCAGATGAAGAACTAGAATAGGGCCAGTTCCCCCAGAACCCCACTGTGCCCCATCCAGTCACTCCTCCTCCCAGAGTACCTACTGTCCTGACCTCTAATGCCATGCTTCTGTTTTGCGCCATTTTTGAACTTTATATAAATACGTACTCTCTCATGTCTTTCACTCCTTGTAACAGCAGTGAGATTCCTCGTGGTGTTGGGAGTAGTCCATTGATTCTCATTGCAACTCATCCATCGTCTGACTAGAGCACAGTTCATCCCTTCTACTGTTGATGATTTCCCGGGTTGTTTCCAGTTTGGGGCTATTTCAAAGAGTCCTGCTATGCATGTTTTGGTACCTGTCTTCGAGCGAGCGTAGATATGCATTTCTGTTAGGTTTTTAGTTACGGGTGGAATTAATGTATCATAAAGTGTGTGAATGTCCAGTTGTGGTAGATACTACCTAACAAGTGTCTAGGTTACACTCCAAGCAGCAGAGTTCCTGCTGCAGTACCTCCATGACCAGTGCTTGATAGTAGGTCTTTTTCTTTTTAGGCCCTCTGGTAGGTGAGTAGACGTATCATATTGGAGTTACGTCTTTCCTGATGACCAGTAAAGTTGAGCATTTGTTCACATGCTTACATGGATATCCTCTTTTGTGAAGTGCCTATTCTACTTTTGCTCATTTTTGTTTTGAATTGTCTGCCTTGTTCTTTTTTTTTTTGAATTGTCTGCCTTTTTTTTTTTTTTTTACACTGAAATCTCTGTATAGTGTGGATACGGGTCCTTCGTTGGGCAAGTGGAATGCAAAAGTCCCCCACTCTAGGGCTTGTCGTCTCAGTCTCTTAATGGTGTCTTTTGATGAAAAGTTCTTAATCTTACTTAGTCTAGTTTATCAGTTTTGTCCTGTAAGGTTAGCAGCTTTTTGTGTCCTGTTTAGGAAATATTGCCTACTCCAAGTTCATGAAGTTTAGTCCTCCACCTTCGTTGCAACTAGAATATTAAGGCAGGATCCTTCCTTCTAATCTCTTGGTTCTTAACCTTTTGAAAATCCTGGCTCCCAGTGAGACTCTGACTAAGACTCTGGGCCCTCTGCACAGACGTGCACATGTGCGCACACTCAGCAAACCTCCCTGCAGCTTCAGGGAGTTCTCAGACTGAGGCCTGTCTGTTGGCCCCTCATTGGAGAACCCGTAACCTAGTCCAACCTGTCAGTTTGCAGATGAGGAAGTCGATGCCCAGAGACGGGGAGTCTACCTGTCCCCAGCGGGGACTAACATCCCGCTCTCCTGACTCCCATTCCAGTGCCCTTGCCAGATCAGTCCCCTGCTGCAGCCATCCTGAGAATACGTCTCTGGCAGAGCTGTCGAAGGGAGAGACTTCTTAATTAAGGGAGGTTTCTATCCACTAGCAGCAAAATATGCCTCCACGATGCCACTCGTGGACTGTGGTGTATTTACCTTAAATGTTAATCTCCCCGGAGTCTGTGAGGAAGGTTTGTGAAGCTGAGCTGGGACTCATTATGGTCGATGCCTCTTCCTCTCTCTGTGACTCAGTGCCCTGGAGTTGCTGCATTGAGCCTTACTGTGTGCAGCTACCTTGGTGTCTTGATCGGTTCTGCCTGGAATTTTAAACAGCACCTTACGTAATAAGATTCCAGTCCCAGTGCTCGAGTGGGTGAGGTTTACCCGAGTGGTTGCTCCAGGGAGAAAATTAAAATGGGTGGAGGCAGGAAAAGAAGCTCTGAGTTTCTTGACGAGTCTCGGTTTGCAGGAGTCAGTCAGTGGACAAGCGAGGCCACAGCTTCTAGAAGCATTCACTAATGACTTTATTGGTGCCCTGCCTTTTTACCTGCCGCTGCCTGCAGTGGCCTCATAAAAGGTCCTAAGTGCATGAGGCGGCCTACAGGTAACATGATCAGGTATTTTTGAGAGCGCTTACACGCCAGTGCTCAGAGCCTCCGGATCCAGTCCTGTTATACCTTGTGAGCAGTGCCCACACTACATGTCACACCTGCAGCGCAGACCACGGTCTGGATCCCAGGGTGAAAAAGACTGTTCGGATCTTTGGGCCACACCCTGAAACACAGACTGAATGATCTCATCCTCAGCACAAAGAAGGTCAAGCCCGTAACACCGTCTGCAAATGGGATCCTGTGAGTCCTGACAGACAGCAGCACCCCGCTTAGTCCATGCCGTCGGACTTCTTTCCCGTAAACTCCCCCGAGAGCCTCTCCTCTGATTTCATCAGGCACTTGTGACTCAGTAGATGGGGTGCTGGAAGGGCAGGTGTCTGAACAAGGTGCATCTGTTCCGTCACTGCAGGTGTTTACTGAGCACCTGCTGTGTGCCGGGTGCTGCACTAGGTGATGGCGAACCTGGGATGAATAGGACAAGGTCCCTGTCCTCAAGGAGCTCCTGGTGTAGGCAGAGGGACAGGAGAGCACTGTGCAATGTGGTGAGTGCTGAGCTGGGCGTCAGCACAGGTGCCATGGGACCAGGAGGAACAGTGTCTGAATCGGCCAGGGAGCCTGGTGCTTCCAGGGGAAAAATCTGAACGGGATCTCGGCATCTACCAGGCAGGGCATGGTGGGAATGCCCTTCACCGCGGGCAAACCGGCGTCACACGCAGGGACATAGCAGCAGTGCGCTGGGGGTGGTTGGGAGGCATTGGGGGCTAGAAAGGGGGCCAAGGACGCTCACTTACATATGGCATCTTGTCTTTGCCTTCCTTTCTTCTCCTTTTTCAAAGAGCTGCTAAATTCAAAGGTTGCAGCGTGCTCCTATCTGAAAGGACTCCCTTACCCCAGAAGCTTGGGTGCCTTTGGCATCCGTATCACTGCTTCAGCAGATGCGGAAATCAGTCTTTTCCCTCCCGTTGATCACGATGGCCCCCAGGGTCTCCTGGACCCTGTCAGGCCCCCAGGCTCTCCTGGAACCCCAGTCAGCCCATCGCTGTTCTACTCCAAAGATGAGTCTGATCTGAATACCACAGGACCTCCACTGAGCATCCACTCAGTAAGCCTCAGTGTTCTTACTCTCTCTTCTTTTCTCTTTTAGGCCTGAAGAAATCAGTGATTTATAGTTCTCTAAAACTGCATAAAATGTGGAAAGGATGGCTGAGAAAAACATCCTGATTTTGCTTGCTTTTATCTATGTTATGTGTAGCTGAATAAAATGATCCTTTTTGACAGAACAGCGTCTGTTACTCTGACCTATTTGGTTGAATTTGAAGAGGTCTTGGTTTGCATGATACTGTACTGGATTTTGGAAATGTATGCGTCAGACATTTATCCGGGGGGAACCAATACCTTTGAGGACTCAGCATGAGAAGAGTCCTCTTTACACACAGCACCATCTGGGCCCTGCTTTCCTGAGAGCTTCGGCTGTGGTCTGTTTGGCAACGAGGGTCAGAGGTCTAAGCAGCGGTGCACGCGCTGTGGACTGGCAGCCCCATGCTAGGGCAGGAGCTTTGGCTCTGTCTGCCTCGGCTCCATCTGCTCACTCGGTTTTCTCCAGTGAGAGCTCCAGTCAGCATCTTCCTGGATTGGGTATTTAACATTTTTCCTTGTTCTCCGTGAGGGTGTGTGGCAGTGACTCAAGTGAGGAACCTGCAACAGACCAGTGCAGAGCTTTCCCATGTAACAGGAGTGTTTGGGGAGCAGGAAACGACAAAGGACTCATCAGCTCAAAGAACTGGAAAGTCAGAGGTTGGTGGGCTTCAGAGTTGGATTGATTCAGGGGATTAACAGACCAATTTCCCTCCTTTCTCCATCCTTTGCCACGTTGACATCACACTAAGGCCAGCTCTCCTCTTAACTCTGAGACCCCTGACAACAGCCCCATCTGCATCTGGGGAGACAGGGGGAGTTCCTTTCAGAAGCCCTCTTAGAAAAGCAACAGAACTGCAGCAGTTCCCAGCAAGCCTCTGTCTGGATTCCTGGGCCCTAATGGGTAACTTGCCCATCCCTGCACCAGGAATAGCCAGGGGGAACCAGGCCAAGGAGCTTGGACCTGAGCCTGCCTCCCCTCCAGCTCATGGGCTGCAGGACGAGCTGACAGATGGATGGAAATGGGGGGATGGGGGGGAGGCAGTGTCTGTTCCCTCGCCCGGCACATCGTCTCTTCAGTCCAAGCTCAGGTTTTGTCTTTCTTTTCTCAGATTGTCTCTACCTCACCCTGTTTCCATTGCCCAGTGCTCTAGTGCAGACCCTTAGGTTCTTTTGAAAATTTGAACAATAGTTTTCTACTAATTTTTTCTACCTTTGGGTTCAGCTCATTCCAACCCAAAAGAGCTCAGGCTTAACATATGACCAAACTGGATTGAATCTTCGCTCCACCGCTGAATAGCTGTGTGACTTTGGGCAAGTTATTTAGTGTCTCTGAACAGTTTTATCATCTCTGAAAAGAGAATAACAGTACAGACCTCCTTGGGCTGTAGTGAAGGTCCTGCAAGCCAAGTGTCCTATGAACTAGGACACTGCCTGGTAGCATTCAGTAAATGTCACTTCTGTCATTACTTTCTATTATTGTTTTTGTTACTGTTTTCTTCTGCAAGTGTTTTTGTTGGGTCAGGTTCTTCCTCAAGAAGCTAAAATGATTCCCCACTGCTTATGGGATAAAATAAGTATTTCTCATCAGCCTTGGTCAGTTTGGGCTGCCATGACAGATACCACACATTGGTTGGCTTATAAACAGCAGAAATTGATTTTTCACAGTTCTGGGGCCTGGAAGTCTGACCAGGATTGCTGATATGGTCGGTTTCTGGCGAGAGCTTCTTCCTAGTTGCAGAGGCCTGTTTTCCCAGTGTCTCCTCTCACAGTAGAGCCAGCAGACCCAAAGCAAGGTCTCATGTTTCTTCTTATAAGGATACTAATCCCATTCATGAGGGTTCCACCCTCATGACCATGTTACCTGCCAAAGGCCCCACCTCTGAACATCATCACATTGGGGGTGGGGGTGGTGAGAGAATTCTGAGGGAACACAAACATTCAATTCATAACAAGATTATTCAAGACCTATAAGCTGCAAAATTGGTTCAAGATGGTGGAATAGAAGAACATGTGCTCACTCCCTCTTGCGAGAGCACCGGAATCACAACTAACTGCTGAACAGTCATCTATAGGAAGACACTGGAACTCACCAAAAAGGATACCCCACATGCAAAGACAAAGGAGAACCGCAGTGAGACGGTAGGAGGGGCACAATCACAATAAAATCAAATCCCATAACCGCTGGGTGGGTGACTCACAGACTGGAGAACACTCATACCACAGAAGTCCACCCACTGGAGTGCAGGTTCTGAGCCCCACGTCAGACTCCCCAACCTGGGGGTCCGGCAACAGGAGGAGGAATTCCCAGAGAATTAGACTGTGAAGGCTAGCGGGACTACAGGACTGGGGGAAACAGAGACTCCACTCTTGGAGGGCACACACAAAGTAGTGTGTGCATCGGGACCCAGGGGAAGGAGCAGTGACCCACACAGGAGACTTAACCAGACCTACCTGCTAGTGTTGGAGGGTCTCCTGCAGAGGCCAGGGGTGGCTGTGGCTCACCGTGGGGACAAGGACACTGGCAGCAGAAGCTCTGGGAAGTACTTGATGTGAGCCCTACCGGACTTGAGTCTGCCATTAGCCGCGCCAAAGAGCCTGTAGCCTCCAGTGCTGAGTCACCTCAGGCCAAACAACCAACAGGGAGGGAATGCAGCCCCACCCATCACCAGACAAGTGGATTAAAGTTTTACTGAGCTTTGGCCACCACCAGTCCCTCCCATCAGGAAGCTTGCACAAGCCTCTTAGATAGCCTCATCCACCAGAGGGCAGATCACAAAAGCAAGAAGACCCAGAATCCTGCAGCCTGTGGAACGAAAACCACATTCACAGAAAGACAAAATGAAAAGGCGGAGGACTATGTACCAGATGAAGGAACAAGATAAAACCCCAGGAAAACAACTAAATGAAGTGGAGATAGGAAACCTTCCAGAAAAAGAATTCAGAATAATGATAGTGAAGATGATCCAGGACCTCAGAAAAAGAATGGAGGCAAAGATTGAGAAGATGCAAGAAATGTTTAACAAAGACCTGGAAGAATTACAGAACAAACACCTAGAAAAATAAAAGAACAAACAAACAGAGATAAACAATACAATAACTGAAATGAAAAATACACTAGAAGGGATCAATAGCAGAATAACTGAGGCAGAAGGACAGATAAGTAACTTGGAAGACAGAATGGTGGAATTCACTGCTGTGGAACAGAATAAAGAAAAAAGTGAGAAGAAATGAAGACAACCTAAGAGACCTCAGGGACAGCATTGAACACACCAACATTCGCATTATTGGGGTCCCAGAAGAAGAAGAGAGAGAGAAAGGACCTGAGAAAATATTTGAAGAGATTATAATCAAAAACTTCCCTAACATGGGAAAGGAAATAGCCACCCAAGTCCAGGAAATGCAGAGAGTCCCAGGCAGGATAAACCCAAGGAGAAACACGCCAAGACACATAGTAATCAAACTGACAAAGAAAAATTATTAAAAGCAACAAGGGAAAAATGACAGGTAACATACATGGGAACTCCCATAAGGTTAACAGCTGATTTCTCAGCAGAAGCTCTACAAGCCAGAAGGGAGTGGCATGATATATTTAAAGTGATGAAAGGGAAGAACCTAGAACCAAGATTCTCTACCCGCCAAGGATATCATTCAGATTTGACGGAGAAATCAAAAGCTTTACAGATAAGCAAAAGCTAAGAGAATTCAGCACCACCAAACCAGCTCTACAACAAATGCTAAAGGAACCTCTCTAAGTGGGAAACACAAGAGAAGAAAAGGACCTACACAAACAAACTCAAAACAATTAGAAAATGGTAATAAGAACATACATATCAATAATTAGCTTAAACGTGAATGGATTAAATGCTCCAACTAAAAGACACAGGCTCACTGAATGGATACAAAAACAATACCCATATATATGCTGTCTACAGGAGACCCACTTCAGACCTAGGGATAAATACAGAATGAAAGTGAGTGGATGGAAAAAGATATTCCATACAAATGGAAATCAAAAGCTGGAGTAGCAATACTCTTGTCAGATAAAATAGATGTTAAAATAAAGAATGTTACAAGAGACAAGGAAGAACACTACATAACGATCAAGGGATCAATCCAAGAAGAAGATATAACAATTATAAATATATATGCACCCAACATAGGAACACCTCAATACATAAGGTAAGTGCTAACAGCTATAAAAGAGGAAATCGACAGTAACACAATAATAATGGGGGACTTTAACACCTCACTTACACCAATGGACAGACGATCCAGACAGAAAATAAATAAGAAAACACAAGCTTTAAATGACACAATAGACCAGATAGATTTAATTGATATTTATAGGAGATTCCATCCAAAAACAGCAGATTACACTTTCTTCTCAAGTGCACACGGAACACTCTCCAGGATAGATCACATCTTGGGTCACAAATCAAGCCTGAGTAAATTTAAGAAAATTGAATTCATATCAAGAATCTTTTCTGACCACAATGCTATGAGATTAGAAATAAATTACAGGGGAAAAATGTAATAAACACAAATACATGGAGGCTAAACAATATACTACTGAATAACCAAGAGATCACTGAAGAAATCAAAGAGGAAATCAAAAAATACCTCAAGACAAATGACAATGAAAACATGATGATCCAGAACCTGTGGGATGCAGCAAAAGCAGTTCTAAGAGGGAAGTTTATAGCATTATAGTGCTACCTCAAGAAAAAGAAAAATCTCAAATAAACAATCTAACCTTACACCTAAAGGAACTAGAGAAAGAAGAACAAACAAAACCCAAAGTTAGTAGAAGGAAAGAAATCATAAAGATCAGAGCAGAAATAAATGAAATAGAAACAAAGAAAACAATAGCAAAGATCAATAAAACTAAAAGCTGGTTCTTTGAGAAGGTATACAAAATTGATAAACTTTTAGCCAGACTCATCAAGTGAAAAGAGAGGGAGGACTCTAAAATTAGAAATGAAAAAGGAGAAGTTACAACGGACACCGCAGAAATACAAAGCCTCCTAAGAGACTACTACAAGCAACTCTATGCAAATAAAATGGTCAATCTGGAAGAAATGGACAAATTCTTTGAAAGATATAACCTTCCAAGACTGAACCAGGAAGAAACAGAAAATCTGAA